AATAGTAATAAGCTTTTTTTAAAGAATTTATATAGCTTATATTTATTTATTATTTTATTTTTATATTATATCTTTTTTTATTAAATAATAATTCTAATAAATGCCTTGCTTTTAATTATATTATTATAATATTTCTATTTTAAGATTTTAGTAATACCTGAATTTAAAGAATTTCTTTTAAGTATTTTATAAATAAAGCTAATAATAACTATTCTATTATAATAGAACTATAATTTTTCTCTAATATTAGCTCCGGTTTATTCGATTCTATTTAATATTATATTTAGGTTTTAAAAGTATTTAAATATAAAATATTAAATATTATTAATAAATAATATAGCGATTTTGGAAAATAGATTCTCTAAAATAATTATAATAATTCATATAAATTATATAATAGAATTAGTAATTTTCTGAAATAATATAATTATTTTTAATAGTTCTAAAGATATTATAAATATAATTAAATTTTTATTATAAATATTTAGTATAAATTAATTATATCCGGAAAAGAATTAACTAAAGAAATATAAATATATCTAGTAAATTCTTTTAAAATCTTATTAATAAACAGAAATAAATTAATATTTTATAGAATTATTTAATTTATTTTTATAATAGTATTAATTAATTTATAAATCCCAGTAATTGTTTTAATAATTAAGAATTATAAATTCTGGTAAAATTTATTATATTTCTTAAAAATTCTATAATTTAGATATTCTAATAATATTTTTATTACTATTAGTATTAGAGCTTTAAAATATAGGAAATTTTTCTTTTACTATATTTATATTTAATAGTTTTAATTAGAATAAATAAATTAATATTCTTATAAACTTTTTCTATTTCTTTCTAATTAAATATAATTATATATTTTTAATTAATTATTAATTCTCGAAATATAGCTAGTTTCTTTTCTTAAAACTAGTTACTAATATTTAACTATTTGAGGTATTTCGGAATAAATTATAAATCTCTTAAAATAGTTAATATTTTTAGTATAAAATAATTTTTATACTTTCTAATATATTTCTATAAGTTATTTTTAGCCTTAAATTCTTTAAACTAATTTAATTATTTATTAGAGCCTTTTCTAGTTCTATTATTAGTATCTATTAATCGAATCTTTTTATTTTTTATTTTATATATTCCTATAATTAGAAATAAATTATAATTATTATTTTTATTTTTAAAAGTTATAGCTATTTTCTTTAATACTATTTTTATCTAATTTCTGGAATTTACAACTTTTCTATTTAGCTTTTTTTAATTTAATATTCTAAAATACCTTTTTTAAGCTTTTATATATTTCAAAATTCTTTCTAGTTTTAGATTTCAGGTTTTATAGCTTTAAGAATATATTTTCTTATTATTAAAAGATATTATTTTATCTCTTATTCAGAAATATCTTTATTTAATATTCTTTTTATTTCTTTTTCTATTAAATCCGGAATTACCTTTAATAATATTTTAATTAGAATCTTTTCTATTTTAATTTCTTTAAAAATATTATTAATTTCCTGAATTCCTAAATTTAAAATAAAAGAATCTATAGGAAATTCTAGTATTTTCTTATTTCTTTTAATAATATTACTAGTTATAATACTAGGCTCTACTTTACTTTTTTACTTTTAGTTTCCGGTTTTATATTATTTAATTTCTTAATTCTAAAAGCTTAATATTTTTAAACTATTACTTTTTTTTATTTTCTAGTATTTTTTAAAAATAGAATAATTATAATAATATAAGTATTTTAATTATTTTTAGAATTAGTAAATCTTTTATTCTATAAACCATTATTTCTATATATAATTTTTATTTTTATTTTTATTAAAAATAATTAATTAAATAAGATCTTTAAAGCTTTTTTAATTAGAAAAAATATTTATTTATATTTTATTTATAATATTAGCTTTAAGTTTTATTATTTTTATAAATTTAAATTTAATACTAATAATAATAAATATTTAATAATCTTTTCGGAAAAAATATTAATTTTAGCTCTAATATTAATTATTTCTTTATATTCGATACTATCTTATAGTTTTCGAAATATAAATCGAAAATATAAAAATTATATAATATATTTATAAACTAATAATATTCGAATATTAATACTATTACTTTTAAATTAAATAATTCTATTAATATTAGATATCTAAACTAATATCTTTAATTCTTTAAATATTTTATTTATTATATAAGCTATAATTACTAGTTTTATAGATTTTCTAATATATTTAATTATATTTAATATAATAGTATTTTCTATTTATAAAATAATAAAATAGAAAATATTATTTTTAATTTATTAATTTTAAAATATAATAGCTAAATCTAGTATTTTTAAAATATTAATAAATATTTTTATTTTCTTTTAAATTCTTAGAAATAAAATAGTTACTTTTTTTAATAGTTTTATTAAAATATTATTAACTTTAGAAATTCTATATTTATTATAATTAAGAATATATTAAATTTCTAATTTATTTTATTTATTTCTAAAAATATTAATATCTATATTTTTAGCTAAGCTATTTCTTTATCTATTACTTTTTAAAATAGTATTCTTTTAGCTTCTTATATAAGATAGCTTTTTTTAGCTCTAGCTTATTTTCGGAAAACCTTTTTAGCTATTTTTATTTCTTTTTCCTTTTTTTAAATAAGAAATCCGTTATAATATTAATAGAAATATTATTTATAGTTAAATTTTAGTATTATTTATTAATTCTAGAATTTGAAATATTAGTAATTCTAATATAATTTCTTCTAAGGCAAAGCGGCTATTTAGATTCCCTAAATATAGCTTATTTACTTCTATATATAAATTCCGGTTAGCTAGTTCCCTTATCTCTTTCTTATTTAGTAAACTAGATATATTTTACTATTTTCTAAATATTTTTAAATTATAATTAAAAAAAATTTCTCGGACTTAGAAAATAATTTAATTAAATTACTAATATTTACTAATAAAAAAAAGAAAATATTTTTTTTATCTAGATTTAAATAGGCCTTTATATTATTTTTTATTAAATTAATAAATATATTTATAATTTATAAGCTTTTCTATTAGTAAATAATAGAACTAAGAAATATAAATATATTTTTAATTAATATTATTATTTTTATTTTTATTATAATACCTATAGTAAATTCGTTTTCTCGGTTCTAAATTTATATTATAGGCTATATTAATTTAAATAGTATTTTCTAATTATATTTAAAATTAACTTTTTCTAAAATATAATTATTTAAATTCTTTATTTATTTTAGTTTATTTATTATAGTTATTATAATATTTTTTATAATCTCTATTATAATTTCTAATATATTCTTTTTAAAACTTCGAATTATATTTATTAGACTATTAATACTATTATCTTTACTATAATTAGCTAGCTTATATAAATAGGCTATAAATATTTTTCCGAATTATAATAGTAATTATATTAAGTTATTTTTATAGATTCTTTTATATTATAATAATAATAAATAGTTTTTCCAGGCTTTTTACTAGCTAGTTAATATTTTTTTTTAGATTTACTACTTTTAATAGATTTTATATAATTAGCTATAAGCTGAATTCTTTTTTTATTTATATTTATAATAGCTTTAGGAAATATAATAAAAGAAATTAGTAAAAAGTAATTATTTTCTAATTTAAGAATTATATTATAAATTATTATATTTAAGTATTTTTATCTAAATTTAAATATATCTGGATTATTAATAATATTAAAATAGTATTTCTTTTTTTTATATTAATAAAATATTATTATTTTTTATATATTTTACTATATTTATAAATAGAAATATTTATAAGCTCGAAATTTGTATTTTTAAAAATATAATCTGTTATTAGAATAAATAATTCTCTTATAAATTCTCGATATTAAATAATTTCATCTATTTCTTTTCTTTTTAATAACTCTTTTAATATTTTATTAAATATATTAATATAAGATTTAAAAGAAATCTTTCTATTTTAGGCTTATATAATAATTTAAATAAAAAAATTATAGGTAACTTTAAGTATTTTCTAGTTATATTTTCGGAATTCCTTTAGTAAAGCTTTAAAGAATTTGGTTTTTTAATAATCTTCTGAATTATTAATATAGTATTCTAATATAGCCTTAATTTAATTCTTATAAATAAAAGAAATATAATAAATAATTCTTTCTTTTTTAATATTATTAGAAATATAATAGTTTTTATATATATTTATATATTATTTTAAGAATATAAAAATATTATTTTCTTGAAATTATAATATTTCACGAGTTTTTATAAATAGTAGATTTAAATCCGATATTAATATATATTTGTTTTTAATTATATTAATTTTAATAACTAAGCTCAAAAAATAGTTAAATTTTTAAACTCTATTTAATTACTTTATTTAATATCTAATTCATTAGAATTATTCTCTATATTAAAGGGTTTCTTATATTATTTATTAATAATTACTTAAATTATAGCTTTTTTAGTTATAGTAAGAACTATAATTAAATTAAAAATCGAATTAGTTTATTTATATTTCTAAAGGCCTATAAAAATAGCTATTAGAAATATATAAAAGAGGCATTTAATTAAATTTATAATTATTGAGATATTAATATAATTATAGAAGAGTAGTTAATTTAAGGGAGCAGTTACGTAATAATTAAAGTAAAAAAACAACTATATAAAATATAAAAATATTTATTTACTTAATTATATATATTATAACTTCTTTAATAATAAAGATATTATAATTTTGAGAATATAGAATTAATTCCTATAATATATAATATAGTTTTGATTAATACGATTTATATTAATTAGTATTATAGTAGTTTTTTTATTTTTTTTATTGCTTTTAGATCGGACCGACTATATCCGAAACGGGTCCGACCCTAAAGCTAGGCTGCAGGTGGCAAGGCGAGGCTTGACAAAGCACGTGCCGTGACATCTATAGTTTTTTGTTTTTTATTTTTTATTTTTTATTTTTTAGGAAGTTCTAGTAGTATAGACCTCGCTATTATACTAGTAATATCGTTTTAGCGTTTTAGGACCAGCTAAGTTCTACTCTAAGTATTAGTAAGATATTTCTAGCATAAGCGCTCGAAATAAAGACAACGAGATGTGGGACCTCGAAGGGAGGGAACATACCAGCATATACAGGTGCTTGCCATGGCTTGACTTTCGGCTTCCGACCCACCTCATGGCTCCTGCTTCTGCCCTGTTCTTCAAATTTGGAATCCGTCTCACTTTCATCCGTTCGACGAATTTCGCAATGAAGCATAACCTTCGGTAGAATGGACTCTCCAGCTGGAGTAGCCCCTTGGTTTACTAGACCACACATTCCCGTTAGGATAGCGCCCAAGCGTTCTTGCACAAACTTCGCATTGGGTCTCTCGTCAAGATCCACTACCACCATTTGCTCGACCAGATCTAAGATTGGGGACACACCGCGGAAGACCCTGTCTTCCTTTTTCGAAGCATCGTTGCGTAGGATATCTATCCAGCCGTTTACCTGACCCAAATTCATATGGAAAGAAGCATCAGGGAGGCCTCCCCCTTGACCAGCAGTTTTGTTCTTGGCTGAACGATAAGACGCAAAGTTTCTAGACGAACGCTTCATGAAGAAGGTGAGAATCTCGAGGAAGACAGTGCCGAGGGAGAATATATCAGATTTTTGGGAGTTATAATTGGATAAGATGTTGCGTTTGGAGATTGGCATCGTGGGTGGGAAAGGGAAGCTGTTTATGGAACTCCTTCTTGCGGTGGTGGGGCGAGAGACGGGGAGAGAAATTGGTGGTGACGTGGGATGTCGAGGAGCCTGTTCAGGAGCAGCATAGTTGTAGGCTTCTCTGTCGAAGCCGCGTTTCTCCCCTGGGAAGGCGTTGGTGGAGAATGTTTCCGCGTCCCCAAGGAAGATGTGGTTGTCTTGACCAAGCGTCATATTGGAGGGTTTGATGTTTCTGTGGGATAGACCTTTATCGTGAAGAAGGGATAGGGCATCGGCCAGACAGTGAAGCCAATTCAAGAGGAGGAAGCGCCGTTCCATTTTGGCTAGTAGTTTGACTGACTGAGGTGTAACTGTCAGAAAAGCTTTGAGGTTACTGTCGGTTACGGGCGTGAGAAGCAGGTAGCCGCAATCTTGATGTATGTAAGAAGCCCATAGCGACGCCAGATGGTTATGGTTGACAGCCCTCATGGTCTCTACTCTGGATAGAAATTCTTCCTGTGGCATACGACCAGGGCCTATGCCTAACGGTATCCTCCGACGCATGAATATATTGTCCGTTTTACCAGGGAGATGAACCTGGTCCACATCGTTTTGAGCAAGTCCTGCTACTTGGCCTATAGCCTTTCTTTCCGCCAGTTCGAGAGGTACTACTTCATTCTCATCGTAATAAAGCCCATCGCCTTTCTGAATAGCTCTCAAAAGGTAACAAAATTGTCTTGTGAAAAACTTCCTTTCTAACTTTTCATCCTTATCGTAACTGAGTTGAAGTCGATGAACCTCGTCTAATGGCATAGGCAAGTCATTATCGTCCCAGGAATCGTCGATCACGCCGAATATCCGGTCCGGGATGCCCAGATCGACCAAAATCAAAAATATTCGCTTGGCTTTTAGATCAATCCATTCCATATAAGTATTATTCGTTAGACCATCTCCAAGTCTGACGGGCCCGTCTACTAGAGCTTGTTCATCAGGTCTTAGATTTGACAAGACAGACTGGCGAGTGACGGCTGCCTCGATTTTCTCTTCATCCCAAAATATGTTAGGGGCTTTAGGCAGGATTCCATTTTGAGTGTTGTTCGCCCCGGCGAACCTGGCGTATACACGTGAATTGAAACTGGCTTTCTGTTGTTGGTTGCCAGTAAGAACATTCCGGCGATAGTCCATCCCCAGCTGAGGCGTTCGTTCTAAGGACACTTTTCTCGACAAAGCTTGCGGCACAATGCCCTCCGAGTTATGCGTTGTTGAGACTTCTTGTGTGGCCTGGAGGTCGGGATCGCGGAGGTGGTGCGCTCGGGGCTGTGAATCGTGAAAAGAGATCCCGTCCGTCAAGTCTTCGTAAAACAGTGGAAGGGCAATGGCGGATAGCTCAGATATATCAGCAAGACTTAGCCCAGAAAATATACTCCAGGCATGAAGTCTTCTGATTGAAGTTGTGAAAGATACATCAGTATCATATCCCTCCGTTCTTCTGTAGACTCTTGTACTTTGGAGAACGCCTTCGAATGACCCTCTTCTGATCCGGTCAATGTTAACTTCCTTAGATACCACCGATTCTACCGACAGCACATTGTCACCCCTATGTGAAGGGGCTCTGATTGTAGACTGCGAGTCCTCCAGAGTGCTTGCAGCAGGTATGGTAGCGTCAAGGGTGTTTTCGAGGCGTTTTAATCGCGCGACCATATCCTGGTTCTGTTCCATAACGTGCTCGATCATCGACTGAAGTTTTGCCTGGGAAAATCGCGCCTTTTCGTCTGATTCACTGTTCAGAAGTTAGCGCATCGAGTGATCGCAAATTTTCTAGATTGGAAAACATGCCTCTGCAAAATATTCAGCATCGTCGTTATCCACATCTTGTGTAATTCGATTCTCCGCACATAATGCGAGACCTTGCCTTCTTGCCAACTCGACCTCAGTTGATTCCATTCCTTCGAAGTTCTCTCTGAATCTGCGGCAAGTGGGCTGATATGTGACATGAGATCGGAAAGCGTTATGACTGATTCCGTCAGAGTAATGATGAGGTCGTCGAGTTGAATTAAAGCCTTTCGCTCATATGACACAGAGGAACGATTAATGATAAGTTTCTGAACAGATAAGAGGACAAATTTCATCTGTTCTATTGCCGCTATAGCGGATCTTGCTGACCGCGGCGCATCTTCGACGTTCGAGATGAAACCTGATATTATGTAGTAGATCTGACCGCAGAGAGCAATAAGACCTGCAATGGATGCAGAGATGCTCAATGGGTCTCCTTGAAGAATAGAGTGTTAGTGTCGGCGCAGCAATGCAGATTTGGGGAGTGACTTGTTTCTGCTCTCACCAGTATTAATCCGGACCCGTCGGTCCATGGGCTCGCTTGCTCTCAGCACATCTTCAGTGCTATAAACTTCTTGGTATTCTCCAAAACCTGCATAGATAATTTAGCTACACAAAGGTACACGCCATGATTAGTGAAAAATGCGCATGACTAACATTCTCTTACCCCCGCGTTACCTGCACACGCCTGCATCTGCTTGAACACCTCCTGAGCCTGCACATATCGTCGTGTAGCCGCAGCAATCTCCTTCCTCCTGATTGTCTCTTCTAACCCAATGTCCTCTAGCCCACGAGCTACGTTGAAGCGGTAGTATCGGCCAATATTATCGAGGTACGATTTATCTCGCCGGAATCTCTCTGCCGTCTGCTCTGTCTCAGTGGCAATCGCAACAAGCGTCTTACCGATACAGAAAATATCATCCCGAAATGGCTTCAGGGAAGGGACACCGGTTCCGATCGAGACTAAACATTTGATCCTACTCTCAAGCGGCTCCGGTCCCCACATCAGCTGGGCCTCATTCCACACCTCCCACACCGGATTATTCGCTCCAGTGGCCCCATCAACAAACTCCTCTCCGTACCGCCCAACAGTAATAGGGTCGAAGAAGGATGATGCTGCCGAAGTTGCCCGGCAAGCTTCCCAAATCTTCACGCTATCCAAGAGGTCGCTGAAGCCGCGCGGCGACTTGTAGCTCGTAAGGCATATAGTCTCGCTTGTGTGCTTACTCGTGGCGCATACAAATCTGCCTTGATTAATACCTGAACTTCCAAGTAAGGATCATGTATCAAGAGGCACCACTTACACTTTGCATGCCTCGTCCGAGGCGTCTTTTAGCAGTGCATCTTTCTCTAGTCCTTTCCCTGTAATAACGTCTTTTATAGCCCGCTCCAGCTCCTCCGAGTCGAACCGTCCTTGTATATTGCCCTTTGCCGTCACTCGGTGTTTCTTCTTCTGGAAAATCCGATCAGAAAGTGATAGGTAGGCGTCGACACATTCGTGTATGCTCATCTTTAGCCGGCCGAGCATAACTGCGATAAGCCTGGTCGGTCAGCATACATGTATACCGTATCCTATACGGCAACGACTCACCCGCCGGTGCTCGTCCCGCCAATCATGTCAAAGTAGTCACAAGGCTTCGGCGGCGAGTCTGGATTGACCATCTCCATGAGCTGCCCGAGGATAATAAGCGCGGACAGGCCTCGGACCCCGCCGCCATCGAGCGCAAGTAAACGGAGCTCCTTGTCCGGCATCGCTGGGGAGCCAAAGGGCTCTCAGTGGAGATTGAGTTGCCAAGTCGGCACGCGAAGTTGGTTGTTGAGTTGGGAAGCCGAGGTTGGATCCAGGCTAGTAAAGTCGTGGTATGCCCCGGACACGGGTTTTGGTGTTCTCGCTAAGCATGAGCTTTTAACGAGCCTAGAACGGTGGGTCTGTGCTCCACAGGGCATTTTTAATCACATTCATCAATTATAGAGTATAAAGCAGCTTTTAATTAGGTGTAGACCAACCATGGCGCTGCAATAAAACTATGACCCAATGCTCTTGCTTTAAAATTAGCTTATTTATCCATTCTTGTGGTATTGCCTCCCACTCTTCCAGAACTGCCTGCCTCATCTCTGCCTCAGTCGTAGGCTAATACTACCGTCGATAAAGTGCTTGTTTGATCCAGTACCAGCACTTTTCTATTAGATTTATATCTGGGCTTATAGAAGGATGAGGCATAAGGATAATACCGTGTTTTATACGATATCTCGCATAGTAATTCGTTATTGACTTGTGTCCGTAGGCTGAATTACCGTCTTCCATAAATAAGGGCTCTACCGCTGGTCGTAATTAGTGAGTAATAAGTATAAAGGCCTCCAGGATTAGCTATAAGTACTCAAGGACTTATATGAGGTAATCGACTTGTTTAAAAGCTTCCTTCTTGCCTATACCGTTAATAAAGATAAGGGGACTCTTATACCTGTATCTAATTACTTCCTAAGCATTAACAGGCGTTATATACCTACAGTGAAATTAATATTAAATATAGTCTTTGTAGTATCTCTCTGACTTTCCCTTCTTAGTATTTCTTGTTACCTTGGCTTTTGCAGATCGTCCTCTTATAAGGAAGGTAACCTTATCTGACTAAAGGACCTTTAACTACTCTACCGTCCAGAAAAGGTGTACTATTGCCCAGAGATATTGTACTATAACTTGTACTAGTATTAAATACGGCTTTTAATACGTAATATAGTAGTAATAACCCCTTTAGTATAGCCTATCCCTAAGTATTTATAGAGAATATGCCAAACTAAGCTTTTCCTGTACCTTCCCCTAGTTTATTATATGTATCTCCTATTATTATAAGGAATATATAATTATTTCATTAACTTCTTGATTAGATAAGAGGAAGGTAGGGCCCTGTTAATTAGGGCGTTGTCGTTCTGGGTAAGGGTAATTGAGGATCTTGCGAATTAAGCTCTTTTCTAGTCCCTTATATTATAGTATAAGTATGCAAATCAGCACCTTTCCAAACTAATGCAATTAGCGTATTGCCTTCTTATATTTAGTCGTAATTTCAAAGCCTTTCTTGTAATGCCAGTTATTCAGGGGAGGCGTAGAAGGTACCTTTGGAGCCATTGTAAGAGTGAACGAGAGGAAAAAAATTAGGTGTGCGGAAAATGCGGAAAATGCCCTGTAGAGTACAGACCCACCGTTCTAGGCTCGTAAACTACCAGAACCTTATTTCGCCTGTAGCTGAGAGCTGTAACCTACTCGTCGGCTAATTCTCTCACTAATCGGGCCAACTTGTACTAGCAAGTTAGTGGCAGTAACTCCGATATACTAGTAATTCCGATATCGATTTTTAATAATAATTAATTAATGATAAAATAACTATATAACTTATAGTTATAATTTTTTATATAGTAATAGCTTATATTAAACTTTATAATTATATAATAAAACTTTTTTTTAATATTATATAATATTATAATTTTTAAAGTATTTAATATAATAAAAGCTATATATTAAACGCGACTTTTTTTTAATTATATTTTTTTAATTATTAATTATTAAAATTATTATTATATTAAAAGCTATATATTAAATAAATAAGTAAAAGAATTAAAAAGTATTACTAATATTTATATTATAATTAAAGTTTTTAATATCTTTTATTTAATTTTATATAATAGAAATTAAAAAGTTAACTTTTTTTTATAAAATAAAAACTATAATATATAATTAAATAAAGCTTAAAAAAATAAACTTAATTTAATATATAAATATTATAAGCTTATAAATAAATTTATAAATAAGAGAAATTAATTAAAAAATACTTAAATATTAAAATAAATATAAGATTAGAGCTACTTTACTAAAATTCAAGCCTAATAGCCCTATATAAGCTTTAAAGCTAATCTTTAATTTTACTTTAATCTCGAATCGAGATTAAGAGAATTATATAACTTTAGCTTTAATATAAAACTCTTTCTTTATAAATTACTATATTTCTTAATTATATTTATAAAGCTTTTTTTTCTTTTTATAAACTCTTTTAAGTCTTATTTTTATTATCGGTTCACTAGGAATGCGTAGCACCGTTATATAGTCGTAAAATGCTAATTACGTAAGGTTAATAAAGTTATTATTCAGAAGTAAGGATTACAGTATTATAGTATTAATATGCGATCCCTAAATCTGCTAAGCCTAATGGGAACTAGCTACCGGTCGAGTTACTAATGGAACGCGAGGTTATATAATTATATCCCGTATCCTATATCCCATTGCCCATATCCCATTGCCCATATCCCGTATCTACACACGTAACTTCCAAAGGAATAGCTATACCAATACTGGAAACTCTCTAAAAAACGCAAAAAACAGAAAACAGTACTCCCCTCTAATTACATGCAAATTCCCTAATCCGGCCTAGTACCAGATCTCCCAAACACTCTATATATCCGTATCGCTTTTAAGATTTTGGTTATATACCAAAGGCCGCGGCCTTTTATATATAACTTCTCCTCCCATAATTTCCTCCCATCTTATATATCTATTTCCCGCTCTATTCGTATTCGACCTATCCCTCTATATCTAATTATATTGTATTCGTATTAATAAGGCGCTTAAGGGCGTTTAATGGCTTTGATTTCGTTATAGAGTCGGCAGAATTCGATTCTCCCTTAATCCACTTGACTTCCGTAATCTCTCGTTATTTATATGCCTGGCGGAGGTATATTATATTAATTATTAGGCGTTTCTCTCGAGTAGTGCCTAATTTGACGAGGCATTTATATAATGACTTCGAATCCGTATAGACGACTAGTAGTAGTTCTATTTCTAGTACTTTATTAATTATAGATTTGACTAAAGCGCCTATATTAAAACTATAAGCTATATTATAGAGTTCCGAAGCTAGAACGCTTCTAGTAACTCTCTTATATTTAGTAAAGGACTAGTAAATAATATTAGCGTATCTAGTTCTATTTACTAGAACTAGAATATATCCGATTTAAGAGAAGAGATCTCTATTATTTGCAAATGAAGCGTCCGTAAAAATAATTAAATATAAGAACTCCTTCGCTAGCTTTATAAATCTCAGTCCTCTGGCGGCATTCTCAATTTGCTATTAAATGCGCTTATTAAGTGCCTTTATATTAGTTTCTAAGGGTTTAATAGCTTAAGTAGTAATTAATAGATTATATAAAGCTTCTGGTTAATAGACTAATGTAATATATGCTCCTCTAGTATATTAGGCAATATATTAGTCCTTAATAGAGAGATTTTAACAAATAGTACTTCTATTACTTATAGTAGTAGTATTCTTTATAGAAATAATTCGGAGGTTTTTATACTAGTATTCTTATATAAAAGTAATTCCAGTAGTATCTATATAGATAATACCTCTATTAAACTTGAGATTATAGTTAAAAGTAAGGGATTTATACTCTTTAGCTAAGAACTTAGCTTTATAAAGCTTTAGTTACTTTGCCTTTGCAAAATTATTAGTTCTAATAAATAAGATATTATTAGTTTAAAGGCCGATAATTCCGAAGGGTTACTTGCTATAAAGGAGGCAAGGGTTATAAGTCGACTATTCTATAGAAAGCTCGTTAATATAATAGAAATAGTAAGTCTTAAACTAGTAATTTCCAGCTTCCGGTATATTATATAATAGTTTTATAACCTTCAAAATAGAATTGTCTTTTAGATTTAGCTCTCTAGTAAGCTTATAGAGTAAGTTAATATAGAAATTATAATTAAGCAAGGTTATTAATTAGATATAAGCTTGCGAGATATTATATAAATATAATTCTGTAGTATCTATTATTATAGTAGTAATACTAAGGATAATTCTCTGGCTAATATATTAAATAGTAAGTAATTATATTAATACTATATATTTCTTACTATTATTATAGGTTTAAATAACTAGTCTTAACTTCTTAAGCTCTCTTTCTATACCCTTATTCTTAATCTCGTTAATAAACCGGAAGTTAAAGATATATATTTCCTTTAGTACCTGAAATCTGGAAGTAACCTTAAATATACTCTTTTCTAGAAGGCTAGCGACTTTAACTTAACGGGAATTCTTATATAGTTTATTATTCTATAGAAATACCGTAATATCCGGGATCTTATAAGGGCATCCTCTGCTATACTTTAGTGAAATAGCAGGAATAGCAGGAGGAATTATACCTATATTGCCTTTGGCCTTACTATTAGATTCGGGAACAGGTTTAGGTTCAGGGTTATTAGTAATAACCTTAATATCCCCTATATAAAAGGGCTTTATAAAGGTTAAACGGAAAGTAGTATTACTATATAGTAGAGCTAGTATGCAGTTCTCTTCATTAATAGCTACTAGCTTATATAGTTTATTCCAACTACTAGATTAATTAGTATTTCCTTTATACTAAATAAGAATATTCGAATTCAGGGGTAGTTTATAGATATTAGTAATACTAGAACTATTTCGGATATTTAAAGCATTCGCAATTTAATGTCTAGCTTAAAGCTTCTGA